GAAAATGAACAGTGATTTTTCTACCCTCATCACCGTCCAAAGTTCATCATGCGATCCCGTTTGTCCGATAGTATTTCATGTTTCATTTTTTTTTCTACAAATCAGAATGAATTGAAATTTGGAACATATATTTATCAAAAATAGTGAATCTTTAAAAAATATAAAAAAAATATTTTACATGAAAAAATAGATCAAAATACCCCAGAAAATAATTTTAGGGGTATTTTGGTTAATTTTTTTTACGGATAATTATTTTTATATTTTAATTAGATGCGCCTCAGTAGGATTTACATATCCTTCAAATTTCAAATCATTCTGATTTGTAAAAAAATAATAAAAAATAAAATACTATTAAATAATCGTGACCGCACGATGAAATTTCAACAATTTCTATTAAAAGGATGAAGTACGCCTTCTCGTGTATGGCTTTTAAATAAGTCCAAGGGCCACGATTTCCACGAAAAAAACCAATGGTAAAGATGCTGCGGCCGTTCTCATTTCTCGCTTGACGCCCTCTAAAAACCAATTTAATGCCCCTGACACAACCCACTTGCCTTATACGTCTCTGTCAGACCTCTCTTCTTCATCCCACCCGCGACTCTCTCTCTCTACCCCCTACTTCCACGCCCTTTTAAATAAGCATATCTCAGTTGAACATCCTCCAAAACTGCAGATGAAAGCTACCCATCCCTCGATGAGTCCCCCCCTATCTCTCTCTCCCTCCCCCCATAAACACCCATCTGGCTCATGTACCCCAAACCTCCATTCTCTCTTCGATCTCTCTCTCTCTAAATGATTCTCATATGCCGCAATCTCTCTCTTTCTCTCTCTCTCTCTTATCTGTGCCTTTTCGGAGTGTGGGTTTGCTTTGAAAGCCATTAGAGCTTTCAAGATAATGGTGCTAAAAAACATAAGACCAGATGAAATTTCTCTCTCTAAAATTCTCAAAGCTTGTGCTTTCACGGCAAGCTTGAACATGAATGAACAGTCCCATACACAAGTCATAAAAAATGGTTTTCAATCAAATTTTGCGGTCTCCAGCTCCCTAATTGATTCCAATGCAAAATTCGGCGAGATTGAACTAGCTCGCCTTATTTTTTTCAAATTCAGTCACCCACCACTATCTCTTTAACTGCATTTATTTCGGCTTGTGCTCGAAATGGGTTCGAGAGAAAAAACATGAAATCATTTGATCTCATGTTAGATAAAGGACTAAAACCAGACAGTGTAACGTTGATCTCTCTACTTTATGGGTGTAGTCATGGAGGCCTAATTGAAGAGGGAAGAGGATACTCGAAACAATGGACAATAATCATGGGATAATTCTTAATATTCGCCATTATTCATGCATGGTTGATCTTCTTGGAAGAGGAGGGATTCTAAATGAAGTAGAGGAATTATTAAAAGCTTCACCATTTGGGGTGAATTCAACAATGGTGAGCTCACTGCTGAGAAGTTGCAAAATTCATGGGAATTTGAAGATGGGTAGACGAGTTGCAGAGGCATTAATGGAGCAGGAACCTGAATTGGCAGCAACTTATTTGCAGGCTTTAAACATGTTTAGTGAGAGTGAGAGTTTTACTTATTCATTAGAGATTAGAGAGACGATGAAAGAGAAGAAGTTTGAGAGGGAGCCTGGGTATAACTTATACATAATGTGAGAATGGGCTTTTTTAGTTAGCAGTAATGTCTTTTTCTATTGAGAGAGAGGGAAGTTTGTGGATTGCTACGGATGTTAAGAGAGATGATGAGAGAGAAGAAGGTCTTCATTTTTGGTCAAAGTGCTGATGGTCTTAACAACCAGTGAAGGAGTTTAAAGCTGATATTGGAAAGTTCATGAAAGCACATCAGAGAATGCATGAATATTTGTCAAAGAATGATCTAAAGAGTTCTGAGAGATACTTGAGAGATGATAAGAGAGAAGATCAAGAGAGAGCAAGTATAGATGATGAGAGAGAAAAATTAATTTGCCCTGAGTTTTGGCTCCGTCCAGATTACCTTTCACAATTAGGGAATGGGAGACTTGAGCAGATATTAGAGATGATGAGAGCGAATAGAATCAAAAGTGTGCAAGGGTAACATACTAATTTAGCCTGGACTTTGGGTTTACTCCTGTTAATCTTTTGCAATTGCTGAAAACGCAGTAAAAGATTAGAAAGAGAAAGGTCAAATTATGGCTGGGTACACAATAATTTAGCATGAATGTTTGTTTGGTGCTGATGACATTCCCATTGGGGATAGAGTAAATTTTTTGTAGATGATAGTGTAATAATTACAGAGAGAAAGGTCAAAAGAGTGCAATGATGCAACTTAATTTAGCCTTAAATGGTTGGTTCAATGTCGACCATGTCTCCCTTATGAGAGAGAATCTTTGGTAGGTAGCACAAAATTGACGAGAGAGGAGACGGTCAAGAGAGGACATGAGCACAACTTGTGCGATGGGTAGATTTGAGCAGACATTAGAGAGATCAAGAGCGAGAAGACAGATCAAATAAATGCAAAGTTACGATTTTATTTGGTTTGAATGTTAACTCAATGCTAATAATGAGATCGAGATTTTTTTCAGTTCTCTTTCCATTGCTACAATTTTTTTTATGATCTTAATAACCTTTTATTTTCTATTTAAGAAAATTTTTTTTGGAAAAGAGAACTTCTGCTAGCTATCATCCTTTATTGAGAAGATGTTCAACAATCAGTGTTGTTTACTTACTCTGCTCTTTTCTTTCATATGCACCTAAGTTAATTGGATTTTCATTTTGGAATGCTTATTTCCGTACTTTGAAAATCTCATTACACACACGGTCCATCTCTATTGCACGCCATGATATAATCTTGCAACTAGTAACAAATAAACAATGATATAATCTCGCAACTGTTACAAGATGTTGTCGTATATTAAGTCGAACTACACTTCCTCCCCTCCCCTGTTCATACTAAACAATATATGATTTGCTTCCTCCATTTTGTAATAACTGGAAATTATTGAAGTTGCACAAATGGATGTGAGTGCCTCATTGAATGAAATTCTTTCTTCTTTCTTGCTCTCCATTAGTAATTACCAAATCTAAAAAATAAATTCCGAGAAGAGAGAGAGAGAGAGCAAGAGAACAGATGTCCGGACTTCAAGCATTGTGCTAAATAATCCTGTATTTACTCTTGAATCATTTCCATACAACACAATCACCACAATGACCACACATGTCCATTACAATACGGCATTTTACCAAAAGATGATTCTTTACTGTCCCCATTTCCATACAACACGATCACTAGATTCACCACACATGTCCATTACAAAACTTCACTTTACCAAAAAAATGACTCTTTACTACCCCATTTCCATGCAACACAATCACCACAACTATGGAGTGTATAACAAAAAATAGCTCTTGAACTATAGCAAGGAGCATGTAACAAAAAATGACCCTTGAATCTTTTGCAAAAATTTACCGCATCTTCTGTGGAGCATCTTTTCGGCCTGCAACAATAAGAATAGTCTTGATCTATTACACACTGAAATAGAGGAGAATAGTCTTGATCTTTTACCAAAATGCACAGTGATAAAAGCATGGAACACATGGAGAGAGACTGAGGAGAGACATGCAACATACAACCTACACATGCAACCATATATACAACATGAAAGCATACATGAGTACATAAAATATTTCATACATAGATGCATAATACATAATGCTGCTTACCATCAATGCTCATGTCCCACGTTCTTATGGGATCGAATCTTACAGTGGACTTTGGAAATAACCCTGTAGTAAGAAAAGAAATTGCAATATTAGCATTTCAGAATGCATTCACAATGAATAATATCATATGGAAATTCTAATACATCTAGATTGAAAAGCTTATACAATTAAAATTCAAAAGAATCTAAAGGTATGAATTACTACTTTTCACAAATGAAGGATGAACAATTTCTTCTATCATGCCCACTGCCCTAGCAAACTGCACATTTCCTAGACTTTTCAACTGGCTTCCATCCCTCTGATCGAGCTTTTTTTCTTGCATTTGTCGGCCGTCCCTTTGCCCGTGCTCGTGCTCGTGGAGGATTAAGGACATTTTGGCAGTTATAACTTCCATTTGGTGTGTCACTACAACTAATAGTACTCCTCTCATCATTGACATGGCTCATGGTATCAACCAGTGGACGTCGCTTACAACCGAATTTACCATCAACCTCTATCATGTCATCGTGTATTAAAGATATTACAAATTCATGAACCTCCGCACTTTTTGACGCACACTCAGCGAGGTATTGAACAGCTTGCAAGACATCGTTATATTGAATGGAGCATGGTAGCGCTGATGTATCACGAAGTTGTTTGCCACTTTCCTCAACAAAAACCCCTCGCTTTATGTCCTTTGACCAACGGCTCATTATGTATTGTGGAGGGATTTCAAAAATACTTTCCATCATAAAAATCTTCAACACATGCCTGCAAAGAAGGCCCATCTTCTCATATAAGTGACAATTGCAAGAAGCCATCTTCTCATAGGGATCGAATTCAACTAAGTATGATCTAGATCAAGTTCCCATATCTGCCACCTTAAAAGTGGCAAGCTGTCCATTTTCATCAACTAACTCACTCATAAAATTCATACAATTGGCAACCGCTTCTACAAATATCTTCAAAATCTTTTGAGTATAGATTTTTGATGCCTGTGACTCAAATAAAGAAGTTGTTCTTAAGATTTGAGTAGTTGTAATGTCTTTTAAGTCGTTTTCTTTTTCTTTTCGTACCTTCTTATCTTGCAACCTTTGCACATATTTCCAATAATGTACATAAGCTTGTTTTGGATGTCAAGTACATCTTGAAATTCTTATTCATCCCTTCGCTTCTTTGGGTAGAAGTCATACCGACTGTGAACCTGTCAATCAAGTATGCATCCACCCATTGCACGTGACAACTATAAAGCCTATTTAGCCATTCATTGCTTTCCAACTCATATTTGTCAATAATTAATTTCCATCTCAATTCAAATTCTTTTACTATTGGGCTAACTATACAACTCTTGAAGGTATCTTAAAAAGAAGGATGCATGCGCAAGACATGGCATAAATTTTCTTTAACTTTCAAAAGTATATGCCACTTCTAGTAATAATTCTCACTCTGGTAAAAAACTTGTCTCACTACGGCTGAAACTGCATGGTCTTGATCAGTAAGAATAACACCCAGTTGTTGCCTACCCATTGCTTTTAACCAATTTTAAATACCCAAACAAATAATTCTACCTTTTCATTAAATATGAGTGCAAGTCTAAAAAACGTTGTATTGAAATGATGATTTACACCAAGTATGGGTGCACAAGACATACTAAAACAATTTGTTTTGAATGTGGTATCAAATGTAACCACATCAGAGAAGCATTGATAGGAAACTTTACATGTGGCTTCTACCCATAAGATGTTGAGAATGTGATCGTCTTCATCTAACTTCAATCTATAGAAAAAATATGGGTTCGATTCTTTCATTTTATAGAGCCATTGCATAATTAGACTACCATCTTCTCCTCTTAGTTTTCTTCTGGTGCTAACAATTTCATTTTCAATGTCCTTTTGTGTACATGCGACATTCTTGATCCCTCCAGCTTGCTCTATAAATATGTCATGAATATGTCTTGGCTTAACCATTGTCGAACTCATTGAATTTATCATAAACTTTGTGGCACTAGACAATGTTCGATGGCTGCGAATTAGATGAGCGTTTCTTGGACTGACTAGAGCGTGATTGTGTTCATCAATAAATATAGTCACAACCCACTCATTGTCTGCTTTCTTACTCAGTCCCAACGTACCCACACCTTGATTCCTGGAGTTCCTTTCCACTAACCTGATCTTTTACTTTGCGAAATCCTTCCTTAGAGCAATTCATTTCTTTATCAATCCTTTGACCTTTTTTATTATGGGTAGTGCCCTTACGGATACCAAAACCTTTGGCCAATTCATAAGCCCTATAGTAGTCAATTGCATCGTCCTTTGAAGAAAGCTTCATTCCTACACGGGGTACATTTGTTTCTAGGCCTTTGGTTGAGGAGTCATGTTCTCCATCTTGCATTTCTATGAATTTTCTAGAAGGGGTTGCAAGATAAGGAACCTGCTCCATAGGCTCATTGGTGTCCCCCATGTTGTCTACAGTTGTGCAAGTGGGAGATGACACACCGTCTAAAACGGTGTAATCCATCTAAGTTTTTCAATTGATCCTACATAAGAAGACAAACTATATAAATATATGTATTCAAACCTTTATATAAATACAACAACACTCATTAGACAAGATAGCCCATTTGTTAACTATTAAATTTTTATTGCTTCCATCATAGGATCAACCGTATTCAAAGCAATTGTAGACAATATAGGTGACACCCTTATTAATGTGAACTTAACTCTCAAAGTAATGTGTAAACATATCAAAATGTGCCTACAATGACACATGGATAATGAGGCAGTTGATATTTGACATATCAGAATTTTCTTGCAATAGCATGTGGATAATAAAGCATGCAAACACGAAAATTAGAGGGCAAAAATACATCAGTAGAAGGATTCGACAAGGCAATGTTGATTCCATTTAAAATACCTAGCTACTTAGAAAAGCATAAAAGTCATTTTCAAATTTTAAAAGCCATTTAAAATACCCAAGTACATGAATGGTGAACTTTTGTATAATTTGAATCAACAAAACATGGCATATATGCCACCTTGTCTATGTAGCATAGGTAGTACCTCTATGTATTGCTTCTCAATAACAAAATGGCTTAAGAAAGTAAGTTCCAGACTACCAGATAAGAAACAGAGGCCATTGATAATTTTCCATAAGAGCAATTAATAATTCCATGCATTAACATAAGTTTGACTCATTTCCATAAAAAAGGCATCCAATTTGATCTATAAATTGCACTTGATTGTATCTGATAGACACAATTTCATAATGCATTCACAATAAGTAAAGAATTTCATAATACATTCTATTGATACTTATGCAATTAAAATCCAAAAGGATATAAAGGTATGCATTACTGTTTATACATAACCCATTATGTAAATGAAGAAGATATCCACATAAAAGAAGAAACCTAAGTATTAGTGTCATTCAATCTTTTAATTGTGTAGAGAGAGAACATAGAAACAACAGCAACAGAGCTGAAATACAAGAACCTAATAACACCCAAAATAGAAACTCATACATAATCCTAATAAACACACCAATGAAATCAAAATCACAATAAAAACTAAAAAATAAGAAGAGAGCACAACAAATAGCACATCTGACTAAGAAACAAAAACAATAAAGATCCCTAAAAAAAAGCCCTAACAAAAAGTGGAGCTTCCCATACCTATTTCTGTGATTTTTGGTGTTTATACTGTGAGAAAGGGCTCTACTGTTGCTACTTCTTCTGTGATTTTGTGTGAGAAATGGCTGCCACGATTAAACGGATTGGGCTGCCAGGAGAGAGAGAATGGGTTTTGTACGTAGCTCACGTAGGGATGCTCTTTGAAAAATGGCTGCCACGATTAGAGGGGTTGGGCTGCGAGGAGAAAGAGAGGGTTTCGTCGAGAGAGATGGGATGCTCTATGAGAAATGAGTTTTGTAGAGAGAGAGAGGCTGAGGAAAACCAGAGAAGTGAGGGGCACACGAGAATAATTTGGACTTTAGAGAGAGATTGCGGCATATAAGAATCATTTAGAGAGAGAGAGATTGATGAAAGAATGGAAGTTTGGGGGACATGAGCCAGATGGGTTTTTATGGGGGAGGGAGAGAGAGATAGAGAGGCTCGCCGAGGGATGGGTAGCTTTTATCTGCACTTTTGGAGGACGTTCAGCTTCGATTTGCTCATTTAAAAGGGGGTGGAAGCAAGGGGTAGAGAGAGAGAGATAGTCACGGGTGGGATGAAGAAGAGAGGTCCGAGAGAGACGCATTGGGCAGGCGGGTTTTGTCATGGCCATTAAATTGGGTTTTTTAGAGCATCGAGAGAGAAATGGGAAAGGCAACATCCTTACCGTTGGTTTTTCCCGAACAGGCTCAGCCGATGGCATATTAAATTTGAGTATCAGCCGATGGCATATTAAATTTGAGTATGATTAAAAAGTCACAATCTCATTTCGTATTTGAATTTTATTTTATTTTATATTAATCTAAATCACTTAAAATCGTTCATTTGTTTCATCAAGTCGTACTTAATAAAAATATATAAAATAATAATTTATAAAATATAAATTGATAAAAAATACCCTTGAAAACTTTTAAAGATATTTTTAGTTAATTTATATGTTACGAATTATTTTTTTAATATTTTTATTAGGTGTACCTTAATAAGGAGAATGAATGCTTAAAATTTTAAGTAATTTGGGTTGGTATAAAAAAATAAAAATTCAAACACGAAATGAGGTCGTGACCTTTAGATCGGGCCTAGATTCAATCTTGGCTGTTGGCTGACATTGTACCTGTCAGTCCGTAGGTTGGGAAAACTCTTCCTAATGCCTATAGGCGAAAATGAACAGTGATTTCATCTAACCTCATAACTATCCCAACTTCATCGCACTGTCACAATTATCCGGTAGTGTTTCAATTTTAATTTATTTTTTACAAATTCAAATTACTTGAAATTTTAAGCGTGGGTATATCTTAGTGAGGCGCACCTAATAAAAATATGAAAAAAATAATTCGCAAAAAATAAATTAGTACACACAACAACTAACTAACGTAACGTTACGTTAGTTACGTTAACGTTTACGTTTAACGTTTATTTAATTTAACTTTATTATTAATTTA